TCTATTTTTGAAGCATAAATTAGAGTGTTTTTGGTCATTCTCATGGTGTGCTATCATTTTTATTTTTTTAATAGAAAATATTAGTAGTATTACTTAAGAAAAGTTATCAATACAGATAGCAATAAGCAAAGCCCTAACCTAAACACCCTTGGAGAGGATGGCGATGACATTTGTGCTATCCTATAGGCTACTTCATTAAGATTCCTATGAATATATTTAAAGGAACAATAATTAAATACGCTAGCCTTTTCTCTCATATCTTCAATAACAACCCCATATGGATATGGTAGATAACAATCATCTAATGATGTTGCCACTTGCACTCCACCCAAACTATAAGACTCCACAATGATATGTTTGCAACCAAATTCGTTTACTAATTGCACACCAAAATGGATTGCCAAAACTTCTACATGAGTAACAATTTCGTGGAACCAAAAATGTTGCCTACACCCAAAACAATATTGTTGTTGTCTCTCAAAACTACCCCAACACTAGTAATGCCCAATTGATTTTGGACTCTGGCATCTACATTAATTTTAGTAATACCGGCTGGTGGTGGCATCTAAGTTGTTTCTATAATGGCAAATTGAGGTGTTATCTCCTAAATATCATCTTCAACTTTCTCTGTAACCTCTGTGTACTCCTCTAAATAATGCTTGATGACTCAAACGCTCTTATTAAGGGTGAAGTAGGTATGGTTATATATACATTTGTTCCTATTATTTCATATAGACCAAAGAGTCACAGCAACAGTCTCTTTATTTTCTTAATTCATGGCTAGGAAAAATTCCAAAAGTCATCTATAAGGGAATTATGCTTAATAGAATTTAAAGATACTGCTAGAATAACTTCTTTTCATACCTTTTTTCTCCAAGCACAACCAAAGAATAGATGAAAATAAGACTCACTTATTGCTCCACATTACATATACCGCATTCTTGCTCAACTTCAATGCCACGTGCTTGTCATATGTTCCTAGATGGCTAAATCTCCCAAATTATTCTCCACATGACACGCTTGATTTTTGGGGGATGTCCATTTGCCAAACTACTTTCCAAACAAGTTTCATAATATGATCACATTCATGATACTCAGTTTCAAAGATCAAATCCCATGCATATTTGTATACAGTTCGGACTGAGAATTTTCCATTATTAGTTCCAAGCCAAATTCAACAGTCAACAGAGCAACTTCTACCAAGAGGAATGTTAAGAATGATATCCACATCATTCAAATAGAAAAATTCTCAAACTACTTCCTTTTTCCAGCATCCTCTATTTGCATCAATGAGTATGTTGACTCTTTCATCCATTTTTTTGGTTTAAATTAGTTGTTTTGGGTTTAGGAATAGCACTAAGTGGCATCCATTATCTCTCCAAATCCTTGCCTCTTGTCTATTGCCAAGTCTACGTGTTGAGCCCATTCTAAGGATTGTAAGACCGTCAACTACCCCTCACAAAACCATTGATGCATTAGGCCTAACTGTAGCTCCCAATAAATCACCATTTGGAAAATATTTAGCACGAAGAATTTGATAACAAAGAGTATTTTGATTTTGCATCATGCGCCAACTTTGCTTAGCCAACATAGTTAGATTAAAAGCCCTAAAGTCTCAAAAGCCTAGAGCTCTCATACTTTTCAAATTGTAATCCAAATCCCATTGGAGTAAGTGGATTCTCCTTTTATCAGAGTTGTCTCCCCACCAAAAGTTGCTAATTATGCTGTTTAATTAGTGACTATTGAAAACTTTGCAAAAGTTTAAAACAACCCATACAATATGTGGGAATAGCCTACAAAACTGCTTTGATGAGAACTTCCTTACTGGCTCAAGATAACAATTTTTTTGTCCAACCTTTGATTTTTGACTAGACTCACTTACGTATGAAGGCAAAACAAATTGATTTGTAGCCAATGATAAGGGGAAGACCAAGATATTTATCTTATACTATTACTTTTGATATATTCAGAGTTTGCATCACTTTTTGTTGTTGAACAAAAGAGATGTTATTATTGAAAAAAAAATAGAGGATTTATCAATTTTTACTTGTTGACTGGAAACTTTCTTTGCCAATAGCTTCAAAGCTTCTGATTCCGATGCCTTGCCAAACAACAAACTATTATCTACACAGAATAAATGAGATACACAGGGACAACCTCTGCATAAACATAGCTTTTTTAACTCTCCCCTATTAATGGATAATGAAAGGAAAGCTAATAGTCCTTTGGCACATAAAAGAAAGAGGAAAGAGGAAAATGGGTCCTCTTGTTTAATTCCCCTATAAGGTGTAAATTTTTTCGTTGGGCAACCATTGATGAGAATTGAATATTGAATAGATCAAACACATGCCATAACATGATTAGTCCATCTCCCAAGAAATCCTATAGTATACATAATGTCTTTTAGGAAATTCCATTCCACTTTATCAAATGCCTTACTCAAATCAAGTTCAACAGTCATATCACTTGGTTGGCCTATTTCTTTTGTTCTTCAAGTGATGGATAGCCTCGAAAACTAACATGACATTGTCATAAATTAATCTTCTAGGAACAAAGGCACTTCGATTTTTTGAGATAATGGTTGGTAGCACTAATTTAAGTTTGTTAGTTAAAACTTTGGAGATTATTTTGTATAGTACATACACAGGCTTATAGGCCTAAATTCTTTGATTGGCAAGGAGCATTTACTTTGGAGATCAAAACAATATAAGTAAGATTCATATTTTTTTTCTATAATCCCATTCTTTAGGAAATTAAGAGAGCTATTGTGATTTCCTCCCCCACAATGTCCAAGTATTTTTTTAAAAAAAAACTAGCACTCATTCCATTTGGTACTAGGGCTTTCGAAGAATTTGCTTTAAATCTATAAAGACCTCAAAGCTAGTAAAATATTTATCTAGGATGGCTGTCATTGAAGTGGGAACTCTTCCCTTTATCTCCTTTAGAGTCCCCTTGTTCGGTTTAGAATATTTAGAGGTAAATAAATCTTGAAAGTATTAGATACATGTCCTTTCTATACCTTCCCTATTTGAGACTAAAACCCTTCTATCATCCACAAATTTTGTGATGAAGTCCTTTCTACGCCTGGCAAAAGCTCTATTATAAAAAAAATTCTATGTTTTTATCTCCTTCTTTTAATCATTAAAGCCTTAAGCATTGCTTCCATAATATCTCTTCATTTCGTTGCTAGTCATGGACCTCTTTTTCTAGAGCTTTTAAAGCGCCAATACTGTTATTCTATGTAGTACCATCATGGATATTTTGAAGATCATGTTGCAGATTTTTAATTTTGTCAAGGATGTTACCAAATTTATCTTAACTCCATTTTGAAAGGAAAGTGCCACAGCAAGCAATTTTGTACATAACTTGAGCCATGTTTGTGCAACCATTCTCGATCTACCATCCTTTTTCTAATTGTTTCCTCACATTCCGACTCCTTAAGCCAATAATTCTCAAATCTAAATAACTTAGATGTTTGCTGATTATGATTTGCTTTCCTTTTGTCCGCTAAAACTAAGATGGGAGCATGATTAGACCGCAGAGCTAGTCAGTGATGAGAGAAAGCTCTAGGAAACAAGTCTAACTATCTTGTTGTCATTAGAACCCTATCTAGTCTTTCCTTAATCATGTCTCCATGCATCTTACTAATGAAAGTGCAACGTGGCCCTTTGAATCCCAATTCTTGAAAATCACAATAGTTCAAGGCCTCTAGAACAATTTCCATCTGTCTATAAGGTCTCAAATTGCCCCCTTCCTTTTTTGATTATCTCAAGATTTCATTGAAGTATCCTAAACACAACCAAGGCAAAGGAGAAGCTGTCTTAAGTGATTTAAGAAAGGTCCATGACTCCTCCCTTGAAGCAGTCTTTGGTAGGCCATAAAATCTTGTTAATCACCATTGACAACCACCCAAATCTTATTGAAAATAGTAGAGTTAGTGTAATTTTCCTCTTAATTTTTAGGTGCTAAGGCCAATCATTAATTCCTATGTATATATACTCATATATATATATATATATATATATATATCGGAATTGTTTTTTAGTGAAACTCTGTGTGAAGCAATATATAAGCTACAAAGCTTTTCTTTGTTCTAGTTGGTGTTGCTCTTCTCCAGTTCTTATTTCCTTTATTTTTTACGTTCATTTTATAACAAAGGTAATTATTTGGTGTAATTATAATGTGCATGCAAACAAGGGATACTATGAGATCCAATGGTATGTTTGAACATGTTTAAGAAATTGAAATAAAATTTTTTATCTATCTTAAAAATTAAACAGTAACATGGATATCAAATACTTTATATTATATCCGTCAAACAACTTGATAGTCAAAATTAAGCAGCTATAAACATGGGCATATCAATAGTTTACATTTCTATATATAGAAACATATGAAATGATTCTAAAAGTTTATCAGAATTTAAAAGGGACTTTAATTTTAAAGTGATCAATTTAAGTTGCCCACACCAACCCCTGGCACTGGAGATCAACATATGTCTTTTGCTATAGATATTACCATCTGTCTTCAAACTCTTCGAAATCTTTACACCAGCTATTCTGAGCTATCCGTTGTTGTAATATGTTCCACAATGCTAGCGCTTCCTTAATTGACCTGATTTCACTGAAGTTCTTAGTATAAGGAATACCAGGTTGATGCATTCCGCATTGATGGCATGATTCCTGAAAATGCCTTTCAAAAGCCCTATGCCCCCAATAGCTGTAGTCCCCACAAATCTCGCACTTGAATTCTTCACCAAGACCATGAAGCTTATAAAGCCAAAAAGGTATTGGTTTCCCATCCCAACCCATTGGCAATTTGCAAGGATTACAGACAACTAGTTACGCTTCGCCATCACTCTCAGTGCCAAATTGTGTGGTCTCTTCTTCTTCTTCTTCCTCCATTCTGTCCTGTTCCATTTGCTCGTATATCAATGCTTGCTTTTTCACCAGATTTTGCTTTGTTTCTTCAATTGTTCAGCTCAACAAATGACAAAGTTTATTCATTTTGGCCTCTATCAATGCAATGTTTGTGTAATTATTTTCTTGTACCAAAAGCTTTGAAAATATTCTGTCAACATCTTGTAGTGGTTCAATCCTTCAAAAGAAATCCGTCAAGCACTCCAACTGATTCTCTATATAACTTCTATATTACCTCGTCAACTTGAGTTTGGGTGGTATATTTTGTGTTTGTGAAAACACATCAAGGTAAACAGGTTATACCTCTAAAAAGCCCTTAACCTTTATGTCTTTAAAGCTTTTATCCCTTTAAGTTATGAGTTAAAGATTTTCGCCCTTTAACTCACTCTCTTTAAAGGTTTTAGGCTTTTAGCCACTTTGACTAGCTTTCTAGCTTTGACTTTTACTTTAGTCGTTAACTAATGGTCACTTTAATGTTTTTGGTTTTCTTAACAAGTTCTTTAATTTCCTTAAATTTTACACTTAAACCCTACAAATTCTAAAACTCTAGGTTTTGATACCAAACTCTATCTAATACATAAAAACTATATTTAATACACACTTACTAAAATAAATTTCACACAAATAGACTTATTTTATAATGATACAATTACACCACTAATATTATATAAATTTAACACACTTTTGTTGCTAATAAAGATAACATTTGTTTAGCATACTTCAATCTTTTTAAATCTACTTTTAAATCTACTACAAAATTTTCTAATTTTTTAATAAGTTTTTGGTGAATGATATTCTTTAGGATCCTCTTATATCACTAATCTCTACTAAAATTCTTATCATTTTTTTCCTAGAATATTCACACTGGTGATCACAAAATCTAGCATCATCTACATAATCTAAGATAAACTCTCGCATTACGATTAGTTTCTACATGCACCAATAGTCCTTTTTGTTTTGTTAACCCTAATTGTAGCTTCTAATAACTTTATTTATTCGTCTATAAATTTTAATTCAAATATTGTCTCCTTTAGGTTCTTGTTACTTCTCAATTGATCCCATTCTTCAGCGTTTTGATGACGTCTAAATATCAATCTTTTTAAAGAGGTGATCTCTTCTATAAGCTTTCTATTATTACTTAATTCTAAAGCATTAACTATAATTGCCAGTCTTTGTGATGTGGAATTCATAAACTCATACCCTAGTTAATATATATATATATATATCTACGTCTTCGTTAGTCACTATACAATTCCTAGATAGGTATTAATAGCAACGAAACTCAATAATGCTTCTAACCAAGCATATAATAATTCTTTGAATAGTTCTTACCTTCAACCTAAAGCCCACTTTGCTTCGTCTGCTACCTCTTTGAAGATCACCAACTCATATTATTATGCCTCACTTTAAGAGCTTAACGCCAACACGCCTTCCTTATAGCTTTCAACTTGGCAAAAAGTAGCTCAATAAGATCCTTACACAAAGCTTTGAGTTGAGTAATTTTAAGATTTCAATAGACAATAGTTTGGTAAGATTTTGGGTTTTATAAAATTAAACACTCAAATATACTAAAAATAATGTAGGTAGTACACATTTAATATTTTACACAGTTCACACTTCAACTTTAAGGACTTTCATAACTCTCTTTTCTTTCACAAGACCCAAAACCCTCTAATTATCCCCTTCTAAGACACAATCCATGCCCCTTCTTAAAGGCAATATGGGCAGACTTCAACTTTGGAGTCACACATAGTTTACTAAGAGATAATGTCCTAGTACAATTATTCAGACTTCAAATCCAGCTTCAAACCTTCTTGAAGATAGTACAATTATATAATGGTCCTATTTAGTACAATTATATAGTGATCCTTTTCTAATGAGTGCCTTTTATTTTTCCATCATGTTTTCAATGTTATATCACTCCTCATTTGTCATATTTTCCCAGTATGAGTTGTCATCATAGTTGTCATCTTCTGAGATATTTTCTTCATTATTGGGCTCTATTATCATTTCCTCCTCCATGGTCCTGGATGTTGACACCTCTCTGGCTACTAAAGATTCTTCTTCATCCCATATTGTGGCTAGTTTTGCTTCCACACTTGCACCCTAGTTTATTGCTTTTACTAGTTCGAGATATCTTTGCATGCAGTTTCTACATTGATTTGTCATTTCAAGGGTTATATTGTCCACACTATGTTTGAATTTTTGGGTTGCTAGCTGATTCCTTAGGAACTCCTTTTGCTTTTTCTTCTGACAAATAATTCTTTTTAGTGGCTAGAAATGTTTTCCATCCTAGATACTCACTTTCTCTAATAATTGCAACCACTTTTATTAATGCTTTGGCCTTTGCTTTGGCAAGAAACTTTTTTTCTTTTTTGTCATAGGCTATTACTTCTCTTCGTGTTGGGAGATTCCATCCATAATTCTTTCTTAGTCTAACTACGTGATAACTAGGTATGAGAATGATTCCTTCTCCCTATTTAGGTGGTGTACTATTGCCTTCAAGACAAAATCTCATATTTTGACAAAATTCCAATTCCCATCTAAGCAAATATTTAATTATTTGTGGGAAGAACATGAACAAATACTTAATCTCTTTGCTTTTGAAGATTATTTTTTTTAGTAGACCTAGTTTGAACAACCATGTTGTTGTATATGGTGAACATGGGGGTGTTACCAAATAACAATTTTAATTTCCTTCCTGAATTTGCCCAACACCTACATTACTTATAGATCCATCATAGAGATACCTATGAGTTATAAACCAATTTTTCATTGCAGTTGGTTACATATTTGTTATTTTTTCTTGAATACCTTGAGACATGAATTCTTCAATATTTTTTAAAACAACCTTTCTTTGGTATGTGAACCATATCTTTTTCGGTATTAATTCAACTAGATAATATTCAAAATTTTTGAATAGAAGATTTTTCTTCCATGTGTTTAATAAGGAAGTCTAAACTCTCAAAAGAGTGTTTTAATTTCTCTTATGATTATATCATCCTGGCAATTTTGCAAATCGATAAGGATAATATTATCTAGTATTTCTAGCATTTTGTCTAATTTTTCTTTAATGCTCTTCTTCTCTTCTTCAGGGTTTATTACCATCACCCGTCCATCTTTGGTAGTAGCTAATTCTAATTCTCTATTTAGTCTTGAAGTTAAGGCTCTAGGTTTGTCTTTTAATAACCATTTGGTTGGGATAGTGAGATCTCTCCATGCTAATGTTCTAGGCACTAGTCTCTATACATGAGGCGTCTTACTTTCCTATAGAATGGCATTTGTAGGCTCTCTTCTAAACTTTGGATTTGTAGTATTAACTAGTCTATAAATTATTCTATAATGTAGTAACAAGTTAAGAATACCTTTTAGCATATTAATTTTTTTGGTTTGGATTTTTATAGTTAGACTCTTATGGGCTTAATTCAAAAATTAGTCTATTAACCATCAACTTGATTTCATTTTAGTCTAGAAAGTATGTTTTATTTATAAATGGTCTACAAACTTTGGAAAATATTTCAAAATGGTCTACCATACAAGATTGTGGTTAGTTTTAACAGAAGAATCAACTTAGAATTAAAATAGAACAGTCCTCTAAGTTTTAAAAAAGTGACACTATAATCCCAATAAAATATAATGAATCAAGGAATACTCTATAGAGATAAATTAGTTAGAATTTGTGATGAAATTGAACAACTAACTCAATTCAAAGAGAGAAACCTAGCAAACTTAGAAAGAGAAGCTCTAAAAGTAAGTATTGAAAGTACAATGAGAGTTAGAACTCTTAATTACAAAATAAGAAGAAAAAGAGAAAGAATAAATACATTAAGAAATATTATTAATACACTTTTATTAGCATGAGCAATGAACAAATAGATAAAATTAACATGTATTTACTTAATACGGTAGGAAAAAGTATAATAGATATAAAAGATACGATTATCATAGATAATATTCTAAAAATAGAAACAATTAATGAAAATACCCTAAGAAGAATTAAAGAAATGGCAAAATCCCTTTCTCAAGAATTTGATTCTATTAAAGAAAGAATAAATAATGTCAAAAACTCTAGAAATTTGAAAAAAATAAAAGAAGAAATAAGGTCTATTAAAGACTCAAAGACTTTGATATCTTGAGTAAAAGAGATAGAAATCAAAATAGAAGAAATTTTCAAGATATTAAAAGCAATCGCTAAAAATTTTGTAATAAAAGCTTAAAAATGTATAACAAAATAATTCCACAACTAGAAAGTGATATAGATAAAAAATTTTATAAGATCCAAACACAACTCAAGGATCTACAAGATACTATAATATCAGTTTGTAGTAGATGAAATATTGTAGATAAAAATGAAAGATTTAAAATAATCCCCAAAATTTTCACGAAAAGACCTAAATCAAAAGGGATAACAACACTTTTCATGTTAAAAACCCAAGAAGAAAAGTTGAAAGAACTTGAACAAAAATTCTTAGAAGAAGAAAATGTAGAAGAACTAGATAATCTGTGTAGACAGATTACTATAACTACTAAACAATTAGAAAATATGAAAATGAATACTCAAAAGGAGGAAATATAAAAGGAATGTGAAGAAGAAAAGGATGAGACACATCCTAATATAACCCCAACAGAATTTCTAGTGCCACTTGGAGTAGAATCCAACATAAGCCAAAGCTATAGAAAAAATAGAAATCTAACACATGAAGTGATATATGATAAAAAGAGTAAAAGATTTGGGAATCAATCTAAACTTGAAACACCAGTAAGAATCAAAGAACAGATAATTAGTATTAATGGTATTTTGCTAGATCTAGATGGTGTTACCGACCCAGAGAAGGTCATTAGTGATTGGGCCTAAGCTACTTGGATAGCCGTAGCAAACAAAAATTGGAATGCCTTACAAATAGTTAGATTTATTGAAATCACCTTTAAAGGGATAGTTCACTACTAGTTTGCTGGTCTAAATGAAAAAGATAGTAATGTTATTATAAGTGGAAATCCTGCTTTAGAAGAAGCTAATGAAAATAAAGCAATTCAAGACATGATAAATAGGTTTGAATCAGCTATTAAGAGAGAATTCTTACAAGAAAATTGGGAAGAAAATCAAGGAAAATAGGAGGCCAGAATTGGAAGAATAGTAGCGTGGAATTTGCAAACTTTAGAATTATGTAATCTTTGTGAATTAAATCAATACATTTGTCTATTTCAGAAATACTATTATAAAGCTTCAAATCATGGAATGACTAAAGGCCTCATGGAATTGTCTTTTGGAAAAATTCCTAATCCTTGGGAATAAAATTGGTAGAAGCCTATAGAATATA